GATGGCTGTCATGCTTGGTCGCTGGTCTCTATATTGCCGGTTCCTGGCCGACACCTGCAATGTAAGTCCTACCCACCGCATTCTCCTTGTCTTAACTAACTCAGTCCAGCCCCCGGAAGCGGATGATGACCAGAAGTTCGCCCTGCCGCAATTCCTCCGGGAATCGACCCTGGCGAAGAAGATCAACGACCGCCTGGCCTCTCCGTTCAACACCATGACCACTTTCTTCTTCCGCCGGTCGGTTGAGAAGGCGTTCCAGCTGGACGAACAGCCCTCCGGCCTGACCCTCAACCCGCAAAGACCGCTCAAATCCGAGCCACCACACATCACGTCCGCTGTCGACGACATCATGTACATCGTCAACAAGGTCCTGCAGCAGTCTCTCGTCACGTCGCAGATCTCCGTCGTCACCAGCGTGGTGCCCACGCTCTCGCGCGTTCTTGGCTCCGACTTCATCGGCATGACCCAGCGCAAAATGCGTGACGAATGCTACCCTCGCGCCGCCGTCCAGGGCGGCCAACCTCCCGAGCAACTCGTTATCTCCTTCCTCGTCCTCATCAACAACCTCGACGTCGCCGTCGACTACGTCCGCCGCATCCTACAAAACCACACCGAGCCCAAAAAGTCCATCGGCCCTGATGGCCAGGTCGAGGAGACCGACCCTCTGCGCTCCCTCTTCCCCGTCCCGGAAGAAGCCCGCCTCGCCACACAAACCCTCCAATCCCTCTCCGCCTCCTTCGAGTCCAAAGTCACCGACCTCCTTACAGACGGCATTCAAGTTGTCTTCAATAACGTCATCAAACACCGTCTCCGGCCCATCCTCTCCGACGCCTTCCGCGACATCGAGTATCAACCCCGCGAAGACACCGATCCCACCCGCACTGTCTACCATGACTACGACTCCGATGATCCGGACTACATGGCCGACGGCACCGTCCCGGATGACGACGACCCCACCAGCCGCGCAGAGCTCGTCCGCCCGCGCTTTGCCGCCGCCTGGACCGAACTGCTCCTACCACTCAGCCGCATCCTCACCGCATCCGCCTTTGACCGTCTTCTCACCGTCACCATCGCCTACCTCTCTCGGCTCCTGGAGAAGCGCCTCTGGTCTTACCATGGCCGCGTCAACGCCCTGGGCGCCACCCGCCTCGAGCGCGACGTATCCGGGGTGGTCAGCGCCGCCGTCGACGTGGGCGGCACGCAAGCAGCGCCAGGTCGATACCGGCACCGTGAAGCATTCACCCGGTGTCTGCAAATGGTTCTGGTCATGGGCATGGACGAAGACGAGTGGGAAGATGTTCTCCGAGGTGGAGAGACAGCTGAAGTGGTGGATAAGTTGAGTCGCGAAGAGAGGATGAGAGTGAGAGGGATGGTGAGACGGGTATAAACTCTTTCACTTTCCACCTTCCACTTTCCTTCATTCTCCCTGTTCATATTACTAGCCCTTCCTCGGCAGAGACAGAGCTTCTAGCCCTTGTTACCTTTCTACAACCGCATAAAATAAGTTCTGACAGCGTCGTCTTGTTCAAAAATACATACGTATTGCGTTCTCTTGTATATAGTACCTTAGCATATCACACATACCAAGCAAGTCATCTTACCACAATTCCAAACTCCAAGCCCTTCAAATACGTAATTACCTTGTTCTCTTCAATTTTCCTGCACTGAAATGCACCTGCAACAAGAATCAATTAATGACGATACAGAATGTCAAACAGTGATTACATACATGAATACATGCGTACTTAGGGCTAGGTAGGCTCTACATGCATACATCCGAACCCCCCCACCTCCCCCATATATACAGGAAGAAGGAACTGAGGGGCCATGAAGAACATTTTAACGTACACATGGCATGGACTATTTGTATATATATTATATATTTTATGTATTGGGTCAAGCACGCTGCGTATATGAAAGGTTTAGTTTTCTCGGCCACGTGTTCGTGTGTATACGACAGCTTCGATGTTGGGAGGGGGGGGGGTTCTTTTTCTCGGAGGGAGGTCGAGTACTCCGCACATGCATGTGGTCTATCTGTTTACTCCGTACCGCCGTGGGGTATTTGGTAGCAATTCCGGGGTAGTACCGGGGACACGTTGTCAGCTGTCATTTGCGTCTAGGCTAGGTGATTTCAGACATCTACATCTACATCTTCCAGTATAGTGCAGCTATCATATGTTATGGATGGATCAATTGACTATCTATGCATGTGCTGGTATCACTCCATAAGCAAGATCTAGGAAACTAACATAGTCAAAAATAAACAATAACCCCCCGCTATAACCTAATATATACAATCCACCCAACAGGTAGATATACATAACCCGCGGGCTTTGTCCCTGAAAAACGCCAAACCAAATCGCCGCCAAATGTAATACATGTACCAAACAAAAAAAGTGGCTCAGCCGGGCTAATAAGAAAGGCATCGCTGGATATCACAGAAAGAGAAAAGAAAACAGAAGACATTAAGAAGTTAGAAAAGATGCAAAGTCCGACTCAGGTCGTCACCTTTTCGTTGCTTTGAGTGGCCGGGATAGGCTCTTCGACCGGCTCGGGCTCATGCGGCGCGTGGTGTTCTGCTACCTGTCGCGGCGCAGGCTGCATCTTCAGCTCCTGGATGCCCGAGTCACCCTCGCTGCATCCGCGGCTGTCCACACCAACCGGGGCGTGGCCGTCCAGCATCATCTCACTGTGCTCGCCGATTCCGTACCGCGCCGCGGCGGGGATCTGGTGGCCGTCTTCGAGCTGGTTGTGCTGCTGAGGGGTCCAGGCGAGGTAGTCACGACGGACTTCAACGTAGTCGTAGGCGAATTCACCCAGCTGGTCGTCGTCCATACCCAGCAGTTCGGCTTCTTCCGAGGCACGCAGTTTCAACCCGGGAATGGCGTTGATGGCGTAGGCGATGATGGCGGACATGACGAACGAGTAGGCGCAGGTAGCGACGACATAGGCGATTTGAATGTAGAGTTGCTTGTAGTTGTGGATCAGCCAACCTCCGGATCCCGATCCAGTGTTGACACCGTCCAGTCCAACAATCGCATCGTCCGCGAAGAGGGCGTTAAAGATAAGACCGACAATTCCCGCAACACCGTGTTCCGCGAACACATCCATAGAGTCATCGATACGGATCCAGTATTTCACTGTAAACTCAGTCAGTGTCTGAACGGGATAACTGTCAAGCAACTGCGTGACTTACCCTTGGTGGAGTAGTTGCAAATAATACCAGTCACAACGCCGAGGATCACACTAGCCCAGGGAGGGACGAAACCAGAAGCCGGAGTGGCCGCAACGAGGCCCGAGATGGTACCGGAGCACCAACCGACCATGGACCACTTGCGAGCCAAGCGCCAATCGAGAAGAACCCAAGTCATACCGGCGAAGGCCGCGGTCAAGTTAGAGTTCCAGCAAGCCATGGTGGCACGAAGGTTCGCTCCAAAGGCCGAGCCACCGTTGAACCCCAGCCATCCAAACCAAAGGAAAACGGTACCGAGTAGAATGAGAGAGACGTTGTGTGGGCGGAAGTTCAGCATCATCCGCTCCTGGCGACGGCCCAGGACCATGGAGTAGGCAAGTGCCGACAGACCAGACCCGATCTCGACAGGACCACCACCAGCGTAATCCAAGACTCCGTACTTGTAGGCCCAACCGTTCACGTTCCATGCCCAGCACGCCAGAGGACAGTACACGATCGTGGCCCAAATGAAGACGAAAACCATTGCGGGTAGCATGCGTCCACGTTCGGCCACAGCTCCCATGATAATTGCTGCCGTAACTCCGCAGAATTGCATCTATCCCAATTGCGTTAGCTATAAATTGTAAAATCCCAATTAAAGATCGTGATGATATACCTCATAGAAAGCGAAGAGGAGGTTCGGAATCAGCGGGGAGCCCGGACTAGGATCGGCCAATGTCTTCATCAAACCGAAGTTGCGCAGGTTACCGATGTAGCCGTTGGTTGCAGTCGGGGAAAAAGCGAGAGAATAACCCCAGAAATACCACTGGAAGGTGACGACGGAGAACGAAGCCATACAAGCCCAGATCATACTCAGAGCTGACTTGCGGCGCGCGAGTCCGGAATAAAGGAAAGCGAGACCAGGAATCATGACCATCACCATGGCGGAGGACACGATGATGAATGCTTGATCACCGGATTGAAACCATTTGTTCAAGTTTTCCGTTCCTAGCCAACAGGTGAGTCATGGGAAGCCAAAACGACCAACAAAGGCAGAGTAACTAACTGGAATCGCCACCGATATCGTTGGTCGTGAGAGCCTCGTAGTCGGAGGGAGCGCCCGTCCAGTTGTAGGACGCATATTGCGGGATAAAGACGCCAGGTTTGTCCGACATGGTGGGAAAGAAAGACTATCGAAGGTAACACGAGGAATTGACGGGTCGAAATGATCTTCTGACGGGCGTTGTGAAGTCACCACCGCCGAGGAATGTTCTCAGGCCGAGAGAACAGGCGGGTGGTGGAGAGGGTGTAGTTCGAGTGGGTGGCGGCAAGAACTGCAGAAGCGAGATCGGGATCGAAGATCGAAGACGGAACTGGCGAAATAGAGTATCTGCAAGGGCGAAAGGGGGAGAGAGAAAGGGAGGTGACACAGAGAGGAGGTTTGAGAATTAATTGGAATGGAGGGAAGTGACAGAGACAGAGAGAGAGAGAGAGAGGGAGAGGGAAGAAGGGCGAGTCGATTGAGAGACCGGCAGCGGGAATGTAAGACGGAATGCCGTGAGAGGAAGAGAGAGAGAAAGAGAGGGAAAGGATGCTGCAGACTGTCGACTCCGCCGGATGTGGAGAAGGGAAAACCGCCACGGGGGGCGCGGAGGGCGTCGACTATATAAATAAGAGTGCGCTGACTTGAGGAATGAAGCAGAAGATGGCCGATGAGTGGAGCGGCCGGGCAGACAAGATTCTGGAAAGGCACCGGAGTGGGACCTCAAACCTGCGACGAGGTTGCGCTTTTACCAATCCGACCCGATAGTAGCGATAATAGGTTGGTGTCAATGCCCAGGCAGGAAGAGGAGAGGAAAAGTCCCTAAACTTTGCTCAAACGTTGGGCGCGGGTGGAGCACCTCGACCGTCGATAATATCTATTAGTGATGACTTTTTGGCGGGTGGATGATAAGTTGATATGCCCTTGAAACTTCATTCATTCAATTCATTCCAGATTAGCCTCGCGTGGGAGAGAAAGAAAGACCCCAGAAAGATTAAATGGGAAAACGAAAAAGTCTAAAATCCAAGTCTCCAGTAAATAGTCAGAAAAAAAAAAAAAAGAAAAAAGAAAAAAGAAAAGGGAAATAATCAGAAAACAATAATTTATTCTCTTTCCACCACGCGAGGGAGGCGCCAGAAAATAATTCAAATCAAATAAAATAAAGATAGTGAGAAAAAAGGCCCAAATGGGAGGCCGCTGAGTCGGGCGAGAGATAAGGTGAAAAATCAAATGGCATAAAATAAACTCGGGCCCGACGATCATCCACCAGAACCCATTCAAAATCCACTGGTTGCGTTTCCTGGCGAACGGCGGAGGAATGGATGCCGCTGCTGGTGCTGCTGGTGCTGCTGTTGGTGATGGAACGAGGAGGATAGACTTTTCTTTGCTGCGTGTGCTTCAATTATCAAAATTGATAGATCGTGAGAAGCTCTCTTGACAACCACACACACATACTAACATCAATTGTATCTCTCAATCACCTGTCAGTTGAGTGGTTTCTTCTGCAGTGAGTGCAAAATGAGTATTCGCTCTGGGCCCTTGATTGGGTCCGTGGCAAAACTGCCGCCCTCGGCCAAGACCGCCGCCGATTGAGGAGGACTGCAGAAATTATTCCCAAAGAAGTCGGTGGCGAAAACTCCCCGTCATATTTCCACTTTAGCCCCGGCTGGGTCCTGGTATACTATCCTCGGTTAAGCCTGTTGGATTGATCTGTTTCATCATCATCATCATAAGCAGCAGCAACAGCAGCAGCAACATCATCATCATCTCAACTCAATTCATATTGAGTGTTCATTCACACAGCCACCCTGCTCAGGTTCCAGTGGATAGGGAAGAGCGTCGGTCCAGGCCCCGACCCATTGAATCTGCAAAGTCGTCCCAGGGGAGAGGGTTCGTATAGCCTCCCGGTTAGGTTCCATGCTGTTTCCCTGCTTGTATAGTAAGCTGTAATCTCCAGTATACGGTATGGTATATGGTATCAAATGTGTCGATGATGCCCACGCGACAGCGAGTAAGTGGACTGTAGGACCGCATAGACCAGCTCATCCCACCGCATGGTCTGCTGCTTCCTGGAACCTCATCTCTCCGTATGCAGAGAGGAGAAAAAAGGAGAAGAAACAAAGCAGCACCAGCGCAATCCGGGGGCCTCGGGCTTGGGGCTTCTGTTTACTTTATGTATCTATTCGATATGCGCGCACGCGGAACTCCGACAGCTGGCGATTGATTATCTATCACGCATACCTTCAAGCCCAATGATAACAGACTGAACACGTTCCAGAGCTACTACAAAGCGCATACTCGCGGCCTGGGGCCCTATCTGTTGCCGAGTTGGGCCGGCAAAGGAATGGGCAACCGGTTCCAGATTAGTAGATAGATAGGAGTACTGACTGTGTTTGATCTGGCTCGAATTTGAGGCAGACAGGCAGACAGGCAGGAAGGCACATGCTTGCACCCTACTTCGTCTCACATGCAGAAATGCGTCTTTCATGTAAGGAAGAGTACAACGTACCAGGGAAATAATAAAACCAGTCTGATACATCCATCCCAAAACAGAAATGAAAGGGATATCCTACTTTTCTATCCATCTATCCATACTAGGCAAACCTGAAGTAAACTGCCAATTCGAAGCCAAGACACAAGACAACAAGATCATCACGTTTCATGCTCAATCCATCTAGTTCCCCACGACCGAAAAGCCTAACTATTCCGTGGAAATCGGAAAACTCAAGATGACCTTTCTTATCAGTTCCATTTTCTCTCAGCTCATCACCACTCCAAATCGATTGGCTAGGAGGTCACGATAAGGGCAGCTGCACGCCACCTGCATCCGGGGTGGGTCCCGCCGGAGCCCGATCCGGCCTAGCTCAGCCTCGAACAGCTCCACCGCGCTGATAACGACGAAGCTTGGCCAATGATAGTCCGCTTGTCATTCCTGTTTCACCCGATGTCCGCTCGGGAGTTTCAGGAATTGGGTAGACCTGAAGCGGGCGGGCGGGCTTTCGAGGTTGGGTCGCGCAGTCGCCGGTTCGGAGGTTTGCCAGGCTCTAGTCCAGTAGCAGTTAGATAGAAGAGATACGGGGACGGGATGAATGAACTTGCGAGTCGGGCTGCGTTTGCTTGGCTCTTGGCTCGGAGGATTCCGATGGTGAGGGTGCTGCGATGCGGTGTGTTGCCTACACAGAAATTTACATGGAATAGATGTGTGTGCTGCAAATCAATTGTCTTATGGTGTGTATTCGACTGCTTCTAACTGGCTACGTAGTTATCCAGGTCGGAGGATATGTCACTCTGCTTACTCTCCCCCATACGATGATATCGCACTTACGTCTGTATGACAGTCCCAGACCGGGCGGACAAATGCACGCAAAAGCATGGATGGGTACCTCGACTAGCAGTCGCGTGGGGTGGGACTACACTAGGCAACCCAACCCGGCTTGCCTATCAGCAGCCGACAGAAGTCCCGAGTCATTCTACGGTAGATAATAGTAGATGGTAGATAGTAGATAGATGATCCTACATCGGACCTGTGCTCCCCGGGACCCCTGGTGCCCTGCTGATAGCACGTTACCCAAACCGGTCTAGCAGTAGTTTATAAGTAGATGCTGTCCCCAGTTTCCTCAATGCTTTAGTTCAAGGGAAGAGTAGAACGAGATAAGAAACACTGGAGATAGGAACTACACTAGTACCTGGTACCTATCTTTAGTTTCTTTAAAAAGGAAAAAAAAAAAAGATTCCTTCCATGTGCTCGTGTCTCCATATAACTAACCTGACCCCGTCTCCGCTGCACTACTAGTAGCTCCCTTATCTCTGGGGTTTCTTGTCGAGTAAAATGATAGTATTCTCTATCAGGTGGGTTGGATGTTACTGCATATCGTGTAACTAAATTGGTTGCTGATCTTTGACTCCTTACTAGTTCCTGCGTCTTAGTCTGAACGATGCTTATTTGGACTACTCCTTTGTGGGGGGTGCTATACTCCCTGCGTGGGTGGCCATGCATGACCTTGTCCTTTCAAGACATCACAGACATGCCATAACATGACACAATGGCCCGTGTGTATGCCACGAGTCAAATATTGAGTGCTGCATGACATGAAAATAAACTATACATCCATGTCGACCACGTGCCCTCACAGACCCCCAGGGAACCACACTATCGGGTCCCGGTTCATGCCACGGGGCAAGCTACGATGGTGATCGCCTGAGGAGACAACAAGGGCGGAGTGGACGATGAGCCCATCACCGGAGCTAAAATCGTCAACGGTCACGGGCGCGCGCCAATCATGGGTTTGCCTGTCGCCTGTTCGTTGCAGGGACCAATGGCCAGACACCATTACCTAACATTTATTGTCCTGCCAGCCCTAATTCGACGTCTGCTGCAGATGCACGGCCATGAGTCTGTCCCAATTCATTCTTTCAGTCCGGAGAATGTTCTGCTTCCGGAGATCCATTAGAAACGGGCACCATGGCCCGGGCCAATCGCCCCTTGCGGATTTATTCTGCGATCTGGGTTCGGGGTTGAGCATGCCGAGACGACGGGAACGGATGTTGTTGCCGCTGGTATGCTGTTCCGCTTGATGGTGATCCGTGATGGTATCAATAACCATCCTTCCGTGTTACTTTCACGACTTCTGCTGAAATACAATGTTTGCTGGGGAGGGTCTTCGCTTTGAGGTGCCGAGCATTTAAAGCCCTAGCTTGTCCCGACGTTGGTCCTCTCCCTACTCTGACCCCGAGATTTCGGGATCCCGGTGTTTCATGCGCCCGTTCAATGGCCGTACATAGTACCGGTTCCTGAAAATACATACCGGTTCTTGAACCAGCATACGTGCGCTTGTATGTGATACCTCAATTTGGTGTACCCCTCCCTGCAGCTGACCGCTGTATGCTGATGAGGAATCCGAGAGCCAAAGCACGTCAGCCAGCTATACTTAGCTCTTTAACTCCCCGGTTCCCTTTATACTGCGTACATAGTGGTAATCGAATTATCTAGACCTTTCATGCACAGCTATTGTAGCAGTACCTGGTTCACTTCCTCGGTCCTCGCGACTCTCTAATATACGACCCGGTCAAACCACTGTCGGTTCTGGCAAATATATATACTACTATCATCGACAGCATGTCCTTAGTAGCGAGCTTACCACTAGTATTAGTAACGGCAAGTCCGCAGTACTATGCACATGTACCACTGAGTTACTACTACTAAGTACTCACCTAAAGCATCCCCATCATGTTTAGAGTACTGTTTCCCAGTGATTGTATGCAAGCAGACCACACAGGTAGTGGGGAGCACGTATTGCTGTGCTGTTGTGGGTGATAAATTAAAATAATAGCCAGTATTTCAACAATTGGCCTGCTGGCCCAATGGTAAGGCGCTTGACTACGGATCAAGAGATTGCAGGTTCGAGTCCTGCGTAGGTCAATTTCTTTTTTTGTTTTGCTTTTTTTCTTTCACTCCCCCAAAACTTTTTAACACTGCGGATACTGACTGGGTACCAGTTTACCTTATCTTCAGATTTATTGCCCAAGTAGATTGTCAATACTGACATCAAAGTATAACGGAAACATCTATACATATAACCTATAACCTAATCTATTAAACATTGACACTGTATCCTACCCCCACCGTGCCCCGTCGTTTCAACGCCATATGATACTTGCGGGCCTCATCGACCCAAAATACGGTACTCGAAATACACACCAGCCGGAATAAATGTCCAAAGCCCAAAGGCTCCGTCTGGAAGATGCGCTGCAAGAAGGGAAGGTATATCACACACGCCTGTCCCGCGAGCGAGCCCAGAACGGCGTAGTTGAACATCTTGTTTCCAAAGAGAGAAATTTCGCCACGGAGCACCGACTTGCCTTCACTGCGGCAGGTCAATGCGTTGAACATGTCGAACAGCACAAAGCATGTAAATGTCATCGTGGTGTCGTGGGCTGTCACCACGCGGGAGTGTACGCCGGGGTTGGCGGTGTCATCGGCATCGCCCATTTCGTGAATGTAGATGGCCAGAGTGCCGAGCATGATCATCATCGCGGAGGTGAGCACCCGCTGGACGAGCGGCCTCGTGAGTACACGGGCATTCCGGGGTCGGGGTGGCCGGTTCATGATGGACGGGTCAACGGGTTCCACGCCCAGGGACTGTGCCGGGGGACCGTCCATGAGAATATCTAAGAGTCGAAATCAGCAGTGTTTCAAGCATGTTAGGGAAGATAAACTCACTGATCCACAGGATTTGCATGGCGTTCAACGGATTCTTGAAGCCCAAGGTGGTGCTCAGCAACACAAGACTCAGTGCCGCAACACTGGTACTGAGCTGAAAGGTAATGAAATTCTGGATATTGTAGAAGATGCCCTTGCCCTGCTCGATGGCACGCAAGATGGTCGAAAAGTCGTCGTCTGTCAAGATCATATCCGCTGCCTCCTTGGCAACATCCGTGCCCAGCTTGCCCATCGATATACCAATGTCCGCCTTCTTGAGTGCCGGGGCGTCGTTCACGCCATCGCCGGTCATAGCCACTACATCGCCGCGAGATTGCAAAGCACGCACAATCTTCATTTTATGGTCCGGACTGGTGCGTGCAAAGACCGAGGTCGAGGATATGGCTTGCGCGAGCTCCTGTGTGCTCATCCGATCGATCTCATGCCCATTCATGACGGGCCGTGATCCGGGAGCGTCACTGACCGGCATTCCTAGTTTCTTCGCGATAGCAACAGCGGTCGTCTCCGCATCTCCCGTGATCATGATGACCCGCACTCCTCCAGCCATGAGACGCCGGATGGACTTGTGAACGTCCTTGCGCGGAGGGTCGTTCATGCCCACCAAGCCTGCAAAGACTAGTCCATTGTACCGGTCATCGTCATCACTCTGGCTGGACTTGGACACGGGCGTACCCGATCTACTGCCAAACGCTCTTCCTCTCGAAGTATCCCTAACTGCTCCACTGGCAAAAGCCAAGACCCGCAAGCCCTCTGCCGCCATGTGCTCAGCTGCGTGCCTTATCGACTGGCGCCGTGGTTCATCCAGGATAACCTCACGGCCATCCTTGGTCAGGTAAGTATCGCACCGGGTCAATACCTGCTCGAGGGCTCCCTTGATATAGGCCACATTGTCACCGGAGGTGCCGTTGCCAATGATCACACCCATCCATTTGCGCTCAGAACTGAACGGAGTTTCCGCGACACGGGCGCTGATACGCTCACGCACATCGTCCTCGCCGAATGTATCCAGCAAGTCCAAGATAGCCACGTCAGTAGGCTGGCCAACCCATCTGCTACGGACACTTCCAGAAGCCCTGTCGTCCGTGGAGGACAAGACCGCGGCAGAAGAGGCGCTAGCCGGAGAGTTGGCATGCACGCGAGATAGTCTGGCATTGTTGGCAATGTTGCCGATTCGTAGAACGGTCCGCGCTGCAGGCCCGGGGGTCAAGGAGGAAATATCATTATGGACCTCAAAAGGCTCGGGGCAGTCAAAGTGCCACATCTTGGTAACTGTCATGTGGTTCAGAGTCAGAGTACCGGTCTTGTCACTGCAAACGACGTTTACGGAGCCCAGCGTTTCGACACTCGGCAGCCGGCGCATGATAGCTCCTCGCTTGGCCATGCGCAGCACTCCCAGAGCCAGCGTCACGGTAACAATAATAGGGAGGCCTTCTGGAATCGCAGCCACCGCGAGCGAAACACCAATGGTGAACATCTCGAGGAGCTTGCGACCCTGGATCAAGCCAATGAGAACAATCAGTCCGATGACACCAAACGAGATGTAACTCAACTCCTGGCCCAAACGGTCCATTGACAGCTGGAGAGGCGTCCGCGGGCTTTCAATTTCCTGGAGGGAGGCGGAAATGCTTCCAAACTCCGTCTTCGCACCGGTTCCGATCACAATTCCCTGCCCGTATCCCGACCGAACCAGCGTACCCATGAAAGCGATGTTGTGTTGTTCATTCAAGCGGATGTCGGCTCCCACGGCGCCACTGGCCGGGGCGTCGTAGAATGGCGATCGAGGCGGGCTCACAATCTTAGGGGAGTGCGAAGGAAGGTGCTTCGGGCTGCGGATGGCATCGGGGTACTTGACAACCGGTTCGTTTTCGCCTGTCAAGTTGGACTCATCGATGGAGAGATCCGTGGCGGCAGTGATCCTGATGTCTGCCGGAATGCGGTCTCCGACGGTGAAGAGGACCAGGTCACCTGGCACGAGTTCCGTGGCGGGCACGGTAGTCGAGGCCTTGACGGCAGTGGAGATGGACGGGCTCTTGCTTCGCAGCTCCTGCAACTCTATCTCCGCACCAGGAGCCGGCGGGATGGTGCCGGCCACTGGAGGGCCATTCAAGGGAACATCGCGAATCAGATGCGCATGGTGCGGCACCAGACGACTCAGTGCCTCCAGAGACTTTTCCGACCGATATTCCTGAACGAATCCGACGGTGACCACAATTGTGACGGCGAGGGTAATGCTGACTGCATCATCGTAGTTTCCCATGAAAAAGGAGATCGCAGCGGAGGCCAAAAGGAGGAGGATCAAAGTCTCCTTAAACTGCTTGAGAAAGCGGAGCCATATGGGCTCCGGTTCTTCGTGCGGGAGTTCGTTGGGGCCCTCTTGTGCCAGGCGCACCTCGGCCTCGGCGGGATTAAGGCCATGGACGAGGGAGGTCTGTAAGCGCTCTGCGGTCTCTTGAGGATCTAAGAGCGAATATGTCGAGGTAGACGTCTATCCGCGCAAGGCGCCCCAGTTAGCCGCGCCGACGGAAGGTAGACGGCAGAGGGGACAGATTGCAAGAGACAAGTAGTTGGAACACACGGAGAGGACCAAAAGACAGACAGGCAAGCCACTTACAGAAGGGGAAGTACTGGAGCGCACGTCCGCCGGGGTTGTCGACCTCGGTCTCGAATCGGGGATCTGGGCATTATGGAAAGGGAGCGCGGGCGTTGCGGACCTTGACATCTCTCATGCTTTGTCGAAACGGAAAATAGGCCCAGGTATATCAGACACCAATTGCTAGCATCCCGTCGGGAACAGTAAGGAAGGAATAATTAAAATCGAAGAGAGCGAGGTGTTCTTTTTTTTTTTTTCAGGGGGAGGAGGAAATGAGATGTGAGAGTAATCGCTCTGGGGGAAAAATCGACAAGGCCGGCGAATGGGCAAAGCCACAGTCTCTCCTGGTGGTTTGACGCGAGTTGGCCGTAACTGCATCAATAATCGTCAATTGGTTAGCCCAGATGGGGGGGGGGGGAAGGGTCGCCAAGTGGACACGGCGACCAGGGAAGGGAGAGGAGGACTGGGCCAGACTTCGGGGCAGAGTAGACAGAGAGGAGAGAACAGAACCCACTCGGTCAAGTAGTTTTAGTATTTTGTCGATAAGAACACAAAGAAACCTTGTCTTATTGAGAAACCCTGATCATGACCCGGAGCAGGTAATCTTCAATCAAGTCCTTCTCCTTCATGCATTGAGTTTCTCCTTGGGATTTCTTTTTCTTCTTTCTATTGACGGCTTCATCCTTGGGCGGTGCGGCTGATGATGCCTTGCCCGATGCGGCCTAGCCTTATCGGATGACGTGTTGTTCCGAGCTGTTCATATCGGGACTAGTGGGTTGAGCATGTCACACGTGCTGAGTCAGCACAACTCAGGTGATCTATGAATGACATAAGCGAGACTGCTACACGTGACCCCAGCCACATCAATACGCACCAATCAGAGACGGGCAGAAGAAGAGGAGGCTGGGCAACATAACCTTACCACTCCCTTCCTCCCAGCCTGAGTAACCTGGCAGTCAATCAACTGTTGCTGGCCGGTCGACGCGCCTTTCCTTCTCTTCTACTCTTTCCCTTCCCAAAGTTCCCACTTCTTGTTTCCCTCCCACCTTTTGCGACTTCGAACCTTACAATCTCTCCCCCCCAACCCCAGCCCCCTCTCTTTTTCTCTCCTTCCCTGTCAACTCCCCATTTTCGCATCACACTATCGCCAATCCCTTTTTGGCTTCTTTCTTGTTTCCCC